TTTTTTTTTTTTAATGGGCTGTTATGTTACTACTGTTGTGAGCTGTGACAGTTAAAACTTGTGAATAATTTGCAAAAGAAAATTTCCCATTCAATTTTTCCAACTGGGACCCCATTCTTCAATGGAAACAAAAATGGGAAAGGAAAGTTTGTCTTCCAGCAATGCTATCCACATATTTATTTTCTAAAGTTCAAATGGTTAGGGTAAAGGAAGGGTCGACGGCTAGGGTAAAGGAAGGGTCGAGGACAAAAGGTTGCGACAAGATTTGTTAAGGATTAAGCCACTCTTTTATAGATAATGTTGACAAATGACTTGACACAATGTATGTTGGCAAAATACGATGGGATGGAAAAATTGACCATGTTTTAAAAAGTCTAGCGATAGAATGTCAGATAAGATTATGTCAACCTCACTATAATTGATTTGTTAATTGTCTTGTCGAGTCATGTTTGTCAAAACTAATCTAAAAAAATAAAAATAATTGCAAAATGCTGTCTGAACTGTTACAATCAACCAAGAGAATCCTGAACCAGAATTGTCAAGATTGTAATTCCCAATAAGTAAAACTTTTTCTTTTTTTTTTTAAAATAAGTTACTTAAAATTAAAAGACTTACCAGCATTTTACCAGTGACATGTCCATAGATATTGCCCTGCCTAATTCTCTGGTAAGGCCATGGCAGAAGCACCAGCATGATCAAAGCCCATATTAATGTTGTAAACATCATTGATACAAAACACACAATAATTCTGACCGAAGAAATCAACAAAGAAAACCACCCATCATCGTCGGTTGCGTACTCATCGGATTCCACCCTCTGCTGTGGCTGCTCCACCACCTTCGCCACCGGTTTCGGCCGTGGCGATGCCGGCCCCGCAGAACTAGCATCAAAATAGCTCCCAAACCTTCGGTTCCGCATAAAAGAACCCACCTCAGAATTCTCCATGTTGAAGTCAACTATCCTGTATATCTATAACAAGTTCAAGAATTAAAATACATACGAAGAAACAAGAACCCAGTTTTTAATTCTATACGATAAGTTGCAGAGAGCCTTGAGAGTTTTTTGACGTTATTGTGAAGCGACACAACTGGGAATAAAAGAAAAATTTCTTTTTGCTTCGTTTTTCATCGAGACAAGACAACCAAACAGAAGAGTCCACGTTTTGGTCATGGAAAACAGTGCAAAAAACAGCAACATGTTGAAATTTATGTACATGCTGTTGACCCCAAAAAATGCGCCAACAGATGTCGGTCTCACTCGCGCTTGCGTGGGCGAATGTCCAACACACTAAGACACGTGAACGGTCTAAATAAACGGTTTAAAGGGGCGTGGGAGTAGCCCAACGACGCGGGACGGTGACTTTTGGAATCCGGCGGGTTGCTCGTAATCCGATTGTACAATAATTACCAACCGGTGCTTGTAAATGTATAAGTGAAAGTGTGTA